AGGTATGTAGAGAGAAGCAGATTACGAATTCCTGGTTGGATCATCGAGTCTACACCCAACACAATACATGCACCAGAAATGACTCAATGCAAATACCAGAAATCTGTATGGAAGATATTATTACCACCAGTCAGTCAAATCACAGGAGGATATTATATAATCTGAAAATGCATTTCAATTCACAGCATAACATCCTAACAAGATAATTATTTATTTTACTGTAAAAGCATCTTGTTTCCCATCTGACTGTATTTGGTTGATAACACCCATATTATTTCTGAATGTACTTTGTCTTACATTGATTTTATGCAAATGTCTAATCATCAGTATTCAAATATTAATTTGTAGGGATTTGAGTGATTGGTTACAGGATTGCATCATGATCTGACATTGGTTAGAAAACTATTGGAAAACCAACTGGGAGTACTGGACAGCCAGCTGTTTCGTCACACTTTGGGACACTTCACAGTACGCACCCACCAGGGTTCAAACACTCTCTACGAGCTCGCCTTGTAACCAGAAGCTCCTGGGTTCAAACTCTGTCAGTGGGTGCGTACTGATGAAGAGTCCCAAACTAGGATGAAACAGCTGGCTGTTCAGTATTCGCAGGTTTTTCAATGTTTCTCGAACCAATATCAGCTCATGATGAAATCCTGTGCCTAGTCATCAATTTTTACTCGTGTATATAAATGAAGCAAGAAAGTTATGTGAGTAGTGCCTGCAACCAATCAAATCAAATCCCAACAAATCAGCACTTCACTATCAATTAGTTTTGTGTCTTCAATGGAGTATAGGGTCTCAGACTTAAGCTTTTGAAGTTCCAGCAGTTAGTGGTGTTAATTTTTTTCTTTTACGGGGAGGTTTTGTTAGCTTCACACGTCCGACCTCCCATCTTTACCGGGCTTACTACTAGTTAAACAACGAGGTTAAGGAGTGCGTCTGTTGAGAGTGGAACTCCTGATCAAATGTTGCGAAGTTGGAGAGTATTCTATCATTGAACCACTAACTTCTTCTGCTGACATGTCGACTATTTATTAGGCGGTTGTCGTTGCAGTTGGAAGGAAATCAGAGATCTATATGTTTCTTGCATATCGACACATCATTATTGAAGGCACTGATTTCCCTCTCTGTGAGTCGGATGCATATCACACAATCTTACAATCAGTCATGTTACCTACGGTTAAGCTATTCAGGCTTCATTTACTCTCTCCTGCGGGGCTTTTTAATTGTTACACTGATTAGTCACTGATCAGACAATGTGGGCTATCATAGGTTTGAACAGGTCAATGGTAACATCTCTCATTGTTGTTCTCGGTGATAACGGAGCGGAGTTCTTATCTCGACTCGAGTTCATTTCGAATGTAGAACTAAAAGTTACTTAGCTGTTGTATTTTGAATTTCTTTGGGTTTGGAGTGGAAAATAAGCCTTAAACAGAACACAACGTCCTGGAGTAGATAGATCGACAGATATAGTCAACACATTCTTCTAGTATTCAGCTTACTTCAGAGAGAAAATACAAAAAACATCAATAAAATCATTCACTTCAAGTAATAATAATAATAATCTCCTTTGACCTTATCAGATTAATTTCACTTGTTAGTTAGTTAGTTAGTTAGAATAGCCAGGAGTATTTCAGCGTTGGTACTTCTCAAGTTGTCTTAGATTAGACTAGAAAGAAAATATGATATTCAATCAGTATGCATATATATAAGTAGTAAAACGGTTTAAGGACAGAAAGACCAAGAATCAGATACTCAGATAGTGAGACAGATAGAGTGAGAGAGATAGAGATAGAGAGCGAGATAGACAGTGGAAACGAAAATATGGCAAATAAAGATATGATAAATTGATTGAAAGCATAAACTCAACTAGAGGTCAGTTATTGTCATTTAAGGATAGTAGAAACTGTTAAAATATAAGTAGTAATAGTAGTAGGAGGAGTAGGAATAGAACAAGTAGAAATATTACCCAAATAATTTCAGCAGAATATAAAACAAGTGTCAAGTGGTAAGTATATTCTCAATGACTTAAATTATAAAATATATAGACTTTGACCTGAATAAAAGACCATAAAAGATGTGAAGATTAAGCATATTAGACCATTATCATTATTATGATCATTGCTTCCTTTAGTTCCTAGAGGAACATTGAGCTTTAGCCGCACTTCATTGCGTTCGGTTCTCTGCTCCACGTCTGTCTACATGCCTTCATCTCCTCTTCGCATCAACTCTTCCTCCATATCACCCTTGCACTGATGACCAACTAACTCGCCGCTTCCCATTCGGGTTCCACTTGAGCGATGGCCTGGTGTGTCATGGATGTCACTTGATGATGGTTTTTTCCTTAGAGTATAACCAATCCACCTCCATTTCTTCCTGCTTATTTCTGGCAAAATTGGTTCCTTTTGGGTTGGTTGGTTCGTTCATTGTTAGAGATCCCTGACTACTGCTGATCTTTTCTGGCCGGCCATTTGATCTTGAGTAGTATTGAGCCAAAACGGCTGTTGGTTAAGATCTGTAGTTTGTTCGAAGCTCCCTTCGTGACACGCACTGACTTCACATTGGAGTTGAAAATCCGAATCTTATTTTCGTTTTCATGCTGAGTAGGGCTATTGATCTCCACATAGACTTGAGAGTGATGAAAGCTTGCTTTGCTTTTTCGATCTTTGCATTGATATGCTTGCCAGATAGGTAGGTGAGTAGGTAAAGGAGGTTGCTTTTTTCAGATAAATCCCATCTATGCTGATTGTTACCTGTTGTTGTTGGTGTGGCTGTTACTGCTGGCCAGAAATATTCATCACCACATCTCTTTTCTCTACCGTAATCAGGAAAATTATTGAAGATATTAGACAGCCAGCCAGCTTGTCATGCTCCCGTCTTCACTTCGAAGGATTCTATGGGTTTCTCGTTGTGGATTACTTGGCATGCAGCATTGCCGTACAGCTGTTGAATGATATGTATAATTGTCGGTGGCACCCCTTGGTAGTAGCGAAGTAGTTGCCAAATCACCTCTCGATCGACGCTGTCGAATGCCTTTTGAAAGTTAATGAAGTTGAGTGAGGAAGAGAGGTTACTGCAATTCCAAGCTCTGCTCAATAATGATGCGTAGTGTTGCAATTTGATAGATGGATGACTTCTTTCTCCTGAATCCAGCATGTTCCGGTCAAGGTTTTTCATCCAGGGTGTGTTTGATTCTCTCCAGGATGATGTGGCTTAGTATTTTGCTTGGGATTTACAGGAGCATAATCCCGCGCCATTTTTTGTATAGACCTAAGTCCCCTTTCTTTGGCAGTTTGAATAAGTAGCTTTTCTTCCAGTCCGTAGGTACCTTATCCTTTTTCCACACCTTTTCCACTGGTGATGTCATCAAGTCGGCTTATGTCTCTGGCTTCATTTCCAATGCCTCTTCTGGGGTTTTGTCTGGTCCTGGTACTTTTCCAGTTTTTAGAATAAAAAGCATATCCCTTGTAGAAATAATTTATAGGTGAAGAAATCGGTAGTCTACTCCTACGGAAGTGATTCTAATGACCGACTTTAACCACTTGTTATTATTATTGTCCCCTTGGGTTCCATGTGGAATACAGAGTTGAAAACAGCACGTCTCCGATTTGCACTATTCTCTGTGGTCCTCTTTAGCTGACACCAAGATTTTTTTCATAGTATCTCGTCTCCTTTATGTCACCCTTGGAACTATGTCCAATTCAACGTCTCCCATTCAGGTTCCACTCGAGTGATGACCTGGCGTGCAATGTCGTTCATCTGCCCCCTCACTGTATGTCTGATCCATCTCCATTTTCTTCAGGATGTTTGTTGAGTGGAAGGTTCTTGGTTAGCTTGTCCCCATAGTTTCTTATTGCTAATACTTTCTGGCTGACCAGCCGGCTGGCCATTTGATCTTCAGTATGGAGTCAGTAAAGACAGCTTTTCATAAAAGTCTTCAGTAACGTGTTGGAAATGCCCTTTGTGACGCGCAGTGCAAGTTTCTGACCCGTATTCAAGAAGTGACTGATTGACTGACTGACTAAACATTTGTGTTGAAAATCTCAATCTGGTTCTTTATGCTGCGGAGTGTTGCACAGAAGATTTCCAAAGTGATTTCAGACTGATGACGGCGTACCTTGCCTTTCCGGTTCTGGCTGGCTGGCTTTCACATCTTCATCCCTTCCGCCTGTGGTTGAAACTACTCTTCCTAGACAGGTGAAGGCAGGAAGTCGCCTCTGTTATATCTCTCACGTAGATGGTGGTCCGTGCTATTTGTTGTTGCTGCTGATTGGTTATCTTCAACACCTCCGTCTTCTCCATGTTTACCTGGAGTTGTGTCTTCGCCACCTGCCTTTTCCGCCAGTTTGTTGGTTCTTGCAAGTAGCCATTCGAGTTTGTGTGACATCAAAGATAAATCATCCACGTTTGAAATTCAAATCTTCTAGAGTCTTCTTATCGGTCATACAGCGTATTTCCGTCTCCTTGCTCCCAACGCACAGTCTCATGCATAATCCAGTCCACCATAATAAGGAATATCATAGTGGGTGATAATAGACAAGTTGCCTTGTCATACACCTGTATGCACTTCAAAGCCTTTGCCGAGTTTTCCCTATGGATCACTTGACACGTGACATTGTCATATAACCAGCTGTTGAATTAGGCACTGTACGCCATATTGCTTAAGTAGTAGTAGACATTAGCGCTAATGGCGTCTATCATGTCAGTATGAAGTGAATTCTTATGAATGTCATGGCCGGTTATCTGTAGCATTGTATCAAGAAACTGATAGAATTTAGAATTCATCAGTTAATTAATGCCAATCTAGTGATTGAAGAGTCACACCTGAAGGTCCAAAATTAGATCCGTGATGGAATCCATTATGGGTTGTTACTACTGAAGAGTCCCCAACTGGGACGAAACAAATGTTCTGTAGTTTAACGCTTATCTCAACATTGCTCCCATTCTTTTCCTGTTTTGTTTTTTACATCTTCTCTCTTATTTCTTCCATTCATCAATAGATTCCTATGAGTCCAGAGAAAAGTCAACATTGTAAATTACAAAGTACATTTTCATCAAATATAAATCATATAAGGAATGGTAGTCATTCCTTGCCAGCTTTAACAACATTTCCTATTGCTGGAGTTAATCCCCCACTGAAAAGCATCATTGTTTCTACTACAAGTACTACTATGACTAATAACAGTAACAGTGTTTCAATTCAATCTGGTATCCATAAAGAGACAAGTAACATAATAACAACGAATATAACAAGAACGACAACACCACCAGTGTCGACAATAACAACAACAACAACTGCTTGTTCTTCTCCTCCCTTTTCTACGTCTATGCCTACTCCTACGAATCCAACTGCTGTTACCACTCCTGGTGGTAGTAGTAATAGTACAGTTATTAGACAAGATTTAATCTCCTTTAACGATTGGCCAAATGTAACAATGCTTTTATCGAATCAGGTGAGTTCTTGAAAAAGTATATATATACACATATACAAATATGAGTTGATTATGGAACCATTGAAAAGCAGCACTGGAGTACTGGATAGCTGTTTCATCCTAGTTCGGGAATCATCGGCAGTATGCACCCACCACTACGCCAGGGTTCGAATCCAGGACCTTCCGGTTACAAAGTAAGCTGGCTTGTATGCCATCTAGCCACTGGGATTTGATTCACTGGTTAGCCAATGAATTTTAACTTCTACCAATTCGTGATGCATTTAGTGCGACTGGCACCAACCAATGTCATCGGGGGGAACTCCATTCTCACTCCTGACTGGATGGGCCCCATTAGTACGAAACAGTTTCCAGTACTCCAGTGTTGGTTTTCAATGTTTCTCTAACTGATATCAATTTGTGATCAACTCGTAAAAACAAATATAATCCTTACAAAGTAACTCTTGAAAAGTAATCTGATGCTCGCTAGTGAGTGACTTTCTGCAGGACGGAGTTTCCTGGAGTGAGTTCTAGTGAGAAGTTGTGACCAGTGAGGTTCATCCAGTCAAGTGTGTGGGGAGGAATGTCCCACCGATGACATAGGTTGGCGCCAGTCACGATAAATGTATCATGAATTGGTAGAAGTTAGAATTCATCGGCTGGCAACTGAATCAGGTACAAGTGGCTGAATGGTACACGAGCTAGCTTGCCTTATAACCGGAAGGTCCTAGGTTCGAACCTGGGAGTGGCGCTGGGTATGTACTGCCTATGGTTCCTAAACTAGGATGAAACATTGGTTTTTAATGGTCCTCTAACTGATATCAATCTGTGACCAACTCCTAAAAACAAATGTAATCCTTGAAAAGCATCTATTGCATATATATATATATATATATGTAGATCAGGTGTTGGTTTGCTGGAATTTGATTGGTTCTAGGGCTGATCACGAGCTGACATCAACGTCAGAGAACCATGGGAGAACCAATAAGGAGCACTGTACATTTGGCCCTTTCACCTTATTTTGGGACTCTTCAGGAGCAAGCATTCACTGCTAGGATTTGAACCCAGGACCTTCCGGTTACAAGGTGGACTAGTAGACCATTCAGCCACCGGGGAAGAACACAGTGGCCAGCCCATGAATTCCAACTTCTGCCAATTCTTGATATATATATCTGCTTTGTGCATCGGTGGCACAGTGGTTAGTACGCTCGCCGACCATGCACATGGTCCGGGGTTCAATCCCTGGCCGACGCACGCCAGATATTCACGGTCGGCCTGCTAAATTTCCGCTACCGATATCACACGCTGAAAATTCCATACTTGTATCAAAAATACTGTATGGAGTCAAGCTATTATAAAAATAAATTTATATAAATATACATCAACCTGAAACCAGTTCGGAAATCTGCACTGCGCTCCGCCTCAGCATGAAGATCAAGATTCGGATTTTCAAACATATATGTGAAGTCAGTCAGTCACTTCTTCTATACAGGTCAGCAAACACAGGATTTCCAACAGCCTGTTGCAGATATTTATCAACAGGTGTCCACTTTACCGGCTCTATACTGAAGATTAAATGGCCAGCTGGGCAGAAAGAATTAGCTACAAGAAACTCTGGTTGGGAGTGAATCAACCAAAAGCTGGTTAGTCAACGGATATGTAGAAGGAAATGGAGATGGATGGACTGGACATACGTTGAGGAGACCATCGAGTGACATTGCGCTTTCACCCGGCCATTGCTCGAGTGATTCGTCTGTGTGAGGGTGACATAGAGGAGATCGTGTGTTGTGGAGGAGGAAGAGATGAGATGTGCAGCTGTGCGCCCAGGCAAAGAAGACAGCAGAAAATAGAACAAAGTGGAGATGTGTTGTTGAATCCCCATGTTTCACTCGGAACCTAAGAGAGTAATAATAATAATAAAACTGATTCATCAGCTCGTGACCAATCTAGTAACCAATCAAACCACTGCTAACCAACACTTGTTAATCAATCTGAGGCTCACTATAGAGACTGGCCCTATACAAGAACTTCCCTGGGGTTCTACTGCGAAGTCATACCCAACCGACTCTACCAAGTCAAACAAGAGGACAGTTACCCTCCAAAGACACAAATTGACAAAATTTGAAATTTATGATCTGATCATTGGATCAGATCCCAGTAGCTGGATGGTCTACGAATTAGCCTCATAACCAGAAGACTCTACGTCTGAACTCCAGCGGTGGATATGAACTGTTAAAGAGCCCCAGAATATGACGAAACGGTCAGCTGGCCAGTATTCACTGGGGAGGGGGTTGACGCTTCCAATGGTTCTCTAATTGATATATACATTATTATTATATTATTGTTCCCTTGGGTTCCTAGTGGAACATAGGGCTTCAACTCCACGTCTCCACTTGCTTCTGTTTTCTGCTGTACTTTTCACTTGCATCCATCTTAATCCATACTGTTTCGACTCCTCTTCACACGATCTCCTCCATGTCACCCTTGCACCGACGTCCCACTCGCCGCTTCCCTTTTGGGTTCCACTCGACCATTGGCCTGACGCGCGATGTCACCCAGCGAGTGGTCTCCTCAGTGAGTGTCCAATCCATCTCCACTTTCTCCTGCATATTTGTTGAGCGACTGGTTCTTGTTTTGTTTCTTCCCATAGTCTCTTGTTGATGATTCTTTCCGACCATCTAATCTTCAGTATAGAGCGAAGACAGTAAGTTGTTGATAAAGGTGTGCAACAGGCTGTTGGAAATATTCTTTGTGACTCGCCGTCAAGTTTCTGATCCATCCGTATAGAAGAACTGACTGACTTAACGTTTGTATTGAAAATCCGAATCACTTTGTTGTTGATGCTGAGTTGAGTGACGAAGATTTCCAGATTGGTTTCAGGTTGATGATGAATGTGTTTCTCGTCTTCCCGATTCTCGCTCGATTTGACATCTTTGTTCGTTCCACCTGCCTGTAGTTGAGACAATGCTCCCTAGATAAGTGAATGAATTAACCCTTTTTCAAATCCCTCCCGTTGATGGTGATTGGCACTGGGTGTTGCTGTTGTTGTTGCTGGTTGGTTGGTTATTTTCATAACCTCCGTCTTGTCTATGTTCATAGTCATTAAATATTAATTTCCTTGTAGTAGTAGGGTTCTAGTAGGATTAGAATAAACATAAAAGGATACTAATCAATGCAGATAAAGAGAACACAGAGGGAGAGGGGGGAGAGGGAGAGAGAGTGAGAGAGAGAGAGGTAGGCAAGGACATTCATTGTATCCTCGTAATTATATGATTTATGATTAGTATTTATCTTGTAATATGATAATATTTCCATATGTTGTTTGATTTTTCCATTCTTTATCTTCCCATCCATCTGTGTTTCTGCGTGTGTGTGTTTGCGTGTGCGCGTGCGTGTGTATGTGCAGGCATGTGGAACTAGTGGTTGGGTTTCACTCTTAGTATTCCTTAGAGAGCGCACGCGCGTCATATAGAGAGAGGAAGAAAGCAGGACAACACAAGCAGAAACTATAATAATAATAAGGAATTAAAATTTACGCAGAAACAAGGGATATTATTCTTTAATGTAGTTTAATCAATTGAGAAGGGATTTTCCTCTTTCATCTTTATAAAGCAAAAAATTAGAGTTTGTTTTTTCCAGGGGATTTAATTTATTTTAGTTCATGTTTTGACCATTGATAGTGTGTCACAACAGAAGGTAAGAGTCAGGCAACAGATCGTTTATTAAGGAAATCAACACACATATTTATAGATTTGAACAAAGAATAATAATAATAATTTACTTTATTCCAAAAACAGTACTACTTATAACACAGAATGGAATTCTCAGTATTTGTCACAATATTGCATCTCATTTACTCAAAATGTATATAAAATTAAAAATTAAAACAAAAATTAATCGGAGGAATTTGTTCACATTTACGACATAATTATTAGATATAATAATAGTAACAGTGAGTTTGTTTCAAACGGTATTGTCGATTCAGTTTTAAAACTTTAGCATGTTATGGATAATTGGGTCTAATGTTCTGTTGATATGGTATAGTGAGGTGAAATACAAAGTTAACAGTCATAATACAGCTTAAAATTATGTCCACACTTATGAAAAATAAAACAAACAAAACGAAAAAATTGAGAAGATTATAAATATAAGAAATACAGTAACAATAAAGTATGATGCTTTAAGGTTGAAGGAAATGGTTTATTTAGTGGTGCTAAGAAGGTTAGTTAGTTCATTTCTGACACTATTTTCATCACATAAAGTACGTGCCAAATATGGCATAGTGGAATTTTTATACTTAGACGTACGTGCATAAAGTCTTCTGAAAAGATTTCTTGTTTTATCTGAGGAGACACAAGGTTGGAGCGGCTGGTAGAGTGGGTGATCAGAGTCTGACAAAATTCCTCTAGCGAATCTGTTGCATGACATCAAGTGCCTATCAATGACAATGTCAACGATATGGCCCAGTGGGATACCACTTGCCCTACTGACCGACAGTCTTCAGAGTTCTACGAAGTATGACATAGTCCTTTTTAAGCAATCCAGGAAAGAATAATGGTGAACAGTAAAGAAGAATAGGTGAAATACACGAGTTGGCAAACCTTAAGAGGAGGCGTTGGTTGAGTTATGCCTGGGTGCCTTAACTTCTTAATGTAAAATGCCAAACGAAATATTCTTTTACAAATCGCTAAGACATCGGAGGACCAGGATAGGTCAGAAGAGAGAATTAATCCAAGATACCTAACTTCAGACTTCGTTTCTATATCACTATCATCGATTTTGCAAGGGTCATAGGAACCAACGGCTTCATTTAACTTTCGTTTACATCGCAAACTGAAATTAAGAAAGGAGAAACATTGGCACAGAATAATCTGGATCTATTTTATTTCGTTGGTTCTCATCAACTGTGTACATCCTTTGTTCATTAGCAAGCATAGTGTTAGAGCGTCATAGTGGAATAAGGCATTGAGATTTACAGGGTGTCCAAAGTGTCACGACATATATATATTGTTAGAAAGAAGTTTCTTGAAAAAATTAGTTAACAGTTATGTTGTTAGGGTGGTAACAAAAGACAATTAGCAATAGTTACGTAATTAGATAAGAGAAGATCAAAATTTTAAAATTACGGTGAACATGAGGTCGGATGAGAAGTTGATGACGTAATACCGTGGGCAGAACTCAGAAGATCAAGAAAAATGATCTCTTAAGAGAGTCAAGCGAAACATAAAAGGGGGGGGGTCGAGTGAAAAGATAAGTTAACAAAATTAACAAAATTAGAAAACAAAGAGTTACTAAGAAGTGAGTCACCAGGTTAACTAAAGTCCAACGACGGATTCTTTTCGGATGCATAAGTCAGGCTTCAATCGATTTATTCCTATAGCTTCAGAAAACCTGAGAAGACTTGAGGTACTTTGTCTGTTAATTATTTTGAATGATTCCAGCACATGTACTCGGTGTCCTGTGTCAATCAGGTGTTTGGCGATTGAAGAGCTTAAACAATTCGCTCCCTTTAACCCGAGGCTCCTTGGTACATGTTTGCAGAATCTGACGTAGGCCCTCCTCTCTGTTTATCCAATGTAACTGCTCCTGCAGATTGAACTGGTATACACAGCTGGAGGTAACATGTGAGGGGTACTTGTCAATCTTTGACTGCACCAGTGAAGAGGTTGTTCAGGATAGAGAAACTAAGAATGTTGCAGGATACGTCCTAGACAGGGCTGCGCTTAATCTTCTATTTATCATTCTCATAATGCCGTCGCTTTTGTAGTCGAGTTTGATGAAATTAGGCTTCTTACTGACTGTAGCAGTATCAAGCTTCTTGAGTTCATTCTTGTCATATTTGTTAATGAAACTTTGTGGGTAACCATTTTATTTCAAGCATTTTTATAGATTTTCATGTACATTATTATAGATTATTGTTTGCAGAAAAACACCGTCTTCTGATTGGTGGTTGTTTGTCACTGAAAGTTAATCTTTCATCTCTTTGTGGCTGTTTCTTGAATGTCAGATCATCTATCTGCTAATTGTATCCTCCTACGCAAACAAAGTCTGCTATGATTGGTGTTGAGTCAGTCTTTGTTCTTGTTCTTTTCACATGACCAATATTTGGGACATAAACATTGACATCAATTACTGTCTACCAATTTGGCTAGCAGACAGCTCTCACCACAATAGGGCAGCAGATGGAGTACTGAACAGCTAACTGTTTCGGTAGCCTAATTTGTGATACATCGATAGTTTTTATGATCCCACTGCCAGGGTTCGAACTTAGGACCCTTCGGTTACAAGTCAGTAGCATTCAGTCACTGCGAACCGACTCAATGGCCACCCATGAATTATCACTTCTACCAATACGTGATTCTAGCGCGATTAGCAACCGCCAGTGTTTTCAGTGGAGAGTATTTATCCTCAGTCACAAATTTGAAAGAGTTAGAATTCATGGGTTGGCCATATGAGTCGATTCTCAGTGGCTAAATTGTCTACAAGCTGGTCTTGTAACCGGAGGGTTCCGGATTCGAACTCTGTCAAAGGATCCCAAACTAATGTGGATAAAATTTATTCTGATAAAGTTTCACAGCCTGTTATACAGTAATATTTACTGATGACCAACGCTTCGAGCACAATTTATTTCTGCTCATTATCATATCAAGGCACTACTCACAAAACTTCTCATCTTTTGATTTGATGCCTGGTAGTAATATTTTCCGTATTTCCGGTATGAGTGATGAGTCATTCCTGTTGCACGTGTGTTGGGTGTAGATTCGATGAACCAGCCAGGATTCAGTAATCAACCTCTTTCGCTCTCCACCTGCCTATATCACTTTCAAGAATTGTAACTCCGTTCCACCCTATTGTGTGGTTGTCAATGCGTACAGTGCAATTGCTGAGATCTTGTCTAAATTACTTATCTTCGTGGGTTAAATCATTCTAACCTTAGCTAAATTCTTATGTTCTGATAATTGCACTACTCCTGATGTACTCGTTTCACCTATGTATTTGACCTCACTCACAGTCATTGGAAGGTGTTTTGTAAATTATATTATTTCGTTTGATTGGGTCAACCGTCAGGGTCCTTTGACATAGAGAGCTTGTCCTACCTGAGTGAGTTTGTAGGTTTAAATGCCACTCTGATTCCTGCTTTATTAAGAATCCCACTACGTAGGGTCTCAGATGTCCCCTCCCTTATATGGTAAAACTACTATAGGTGCCTTATATTCTTTCTTATTTATGTTATCATCATTAGTTCCACCATTATTTTTATTTTGCTTTTGACCTTTTCTGATCTTCCTAATGAATTTTATAGGATAGTTATAAATATTACCGTATAACACTGTGAGACTTAGTGTTAGAGGGTTGGAGGTAATCGGCAGGAAGTCTTGGACCTAGTTTTCGTGCCAGTTGGCACTCGTCACCCTGAAGGAACGCATGTCCCTTCTGATGGTGAGGTACATTGCGAAGCTGATTGGTAGAATTCAGTCTGCGCCAAACAAAGGACCAGACACATCACACTAGTTTCTGACTAGTGTCCAATCAAAGTACTGTGAGACTTTATCAAAATAAATCTTATCCACAATGGAATTATACTCGAACACAGTGCACAAGCTCTATTCTTATATCAATGAGTCTTAAATTAGGCTGCTGAAACAGCTAGCTCTCCAGTACTCCCCCTGCTGGTTTTCAATGGTTCTCTAACTGATCTCGATCCGTAGTCAAGCTTGAGACAAATCAGATCCCTGCAAACTAACTCTGTTAAATCTGATCTGTTGTAATTCTGCTTGATATCATTAGATATTCTTCTGAAAAGTTAAACTGCATCAAACTTCGTCCATATTACGTAATTGCTTGTTTGCTTACTAGTTTTGTTAACTTTTACACTGTTTTTGTAATATCAATACATTCTGTGGACTATTTTCTTTATAATACACAGTCTATTTTACCGCATATTCATCAATGGTTCAGTGTTAGAATAGGTAGAAGTCATAGAATTGGTATTGGTTCTATTCCCTGCTGACATACTCCTGAACTTCACACAGTTTACTAGGCGACAGTAAGGCTTGGAAAGAAGAAAAGTTGGAACTGAAGCTTTTTTTATTCCTTCACGTTCCCAGGATTGAAGTTTCTGTAGCAGTGGTGTTGACTTTTACGGGATGTGGTTGCTAGCCTCATGCCCAACCTTTCCTCTTTACTAGTCTTGTTGCTGGCTTAGCGAGGTAAGAGAGTGTGTCGGCCGGCGATCGAACCCCGAACCACATGAGGCGTGGTTGGCGAGCATTCTACCGCTGTGCCACCGACGCACTGAAGCTATCAACCTTCATTCTGTAAGTAGACAGCAACACTACCGCATCTGAAGTTCCAAAAGCTTGAAGTCTTATGTGTTATACTAGGAGAATAAACAAATGTTTAATAAAATCTTATTACTAGGTGTTTAACTCTGACTACAACTGTTTCATCGTAGTTTGGGACTCTTGAGCAGTACTCACTCACATGAAGCTCGAATCCAACACCTTCTAGGACCCAATCAACTGGCTAGCCCATGAATTTTAACTTCCACCAGTTGGTGAGTTCGAACCTTGGTGGGTTGGTACTGTGAAGAGTCTCAAACTAGGACGAAACAGCTGGCTATCCAGTAATCGCTTTTTTTCCCAATGGTTCTTTGACTTATGTCAAGTTCGGATCAATCTTGTAATTATTGAGATCCTTACAAAGTAAGTCTTTAAAACTGCTTGGAGATTTAGTATAAATTTGTCATCATCGGGGTCCATCAGATCTTCAGGAGTATTCTGACATCTGGCGTTCAAACCCACGACATTCCAGTCATGAATTGATAGATATTGAAATTCATGGGCAACTGGATTGGGTCCCAGTGGCTGAATGGTCAATGAGCTAACCTTGTTATCGTATGGTCTTGGGTTCGAGTCCCAATGGGTTCGTATAGTGTAGACGTATTCACAAGACTCTTTCCTCGTTTCCATTTTAACGTATTATTCATTAAGATATCTAACCAGATTTCTATTCTTCTCCAGACTACTACAACATTACAATCTCCTTTAAACCGACAGACGACAACGCAAACAACAGCGCCGACAACATCGTTATCTACAACACCAATAGATGCCTAATTCTAATAATTTTACAAATTCTATGTTGATTGATTCTACACGTATCCCACAGATGGCATTACTTGACAGAGATTTACATGCTGGAATTACAAGAACAATGAGTACAACGACTCCAATGGCTGTTGGGAATGCAAAGTGAGTTATTTGTACTGAATTTACATTTGTTTAACACTGTCTAACTTACTTACTGTCTTAACTGCATGCTGGTCAGTGAAGATTTTCAGAGCTTGGATGATGACGTCATCACCAGTGAGAATGATTTTGAGCAATATGAGTAACAATTTCCAACCACTGACTCCTGGTATTTCAATGACCTGGATGGATTTTTTCCCATGATTTGTTCTCACCAAAGTCATTTCCAGTTTCTGTCGAAGTGTATTTTAATTCATCATGTGTGATACATATCCTAGCTAAATTCCGTTTATTTTGGATGTGGGAGTAATTTCTTCTACACCCCGGTGTTGATTGGTACAGATTCAATTCTATCAGTTAAGTTTACAAGATGACTTGACATTGTAATGCATATTAAATTTATGTTAGATGGTTGGAAGCAAGCCCTGGGATGTCCTGGATTTGGGTTGGCAATCGTCCAAAAGGCGTATTTAAGACCTAGAAGAAACTCATGTCTGCCTCGATATTCGAACCTGCGTCACCCATAGCTGTAGTTAGAAATGTTACCACTGAGGCTGTTCGAGGTTACAACTGTTCCCAAACATTAATCCAGTGTGCACCGTAGTTGCGATTTATTTATTATTATTTTTTTTATTTCGGTTACAGCTTGATGCCACACCGTATATTCAGTACAAGTATGGCATTTTCAGCATGGATATCGGTAGCCCAAATTTTGCAGGCCGACGATAGATATCGGGTGTGCGTCGGCAAGGGCTCGAACCTCGGACCATGTGCATGGTCAGCAAGAGTCCTAACCACTGTGCCACCGACGCACCTTAGTTGGTGGCCGCATTGCAAAAATAAATGATAGAATTCAGTCCGCACCAAACGAAGGACAGGACGTATGACATAAGTTATTAATTAGTAATCATTCAGTGCATCCATTACAATCCTATGGGAGGTCAATCACTGTTCCATCTTGTTTTGGGATTCCTCTTCAGTATTCACTCACCGGGGTTCGAATCTAGAACCTATAGGTTAAAAGTTGAGCTTGTTGGCCACTCAGCCAATGGGAGCCAATTCAATGACCCATGAACTTCAACTTCTGCCGATTCGTGGTATATCGCACTATCCGATTGGATTACAGTGTCTAAGGTACCTAAAGGCCCTGAGATGGAACTCCAGAGGATGATTACCTGTGGAAAGTCTCAAGCTAGGGTGAAGTAGATGTCAAGTACTCCTTGGATTCCTTGAGATATTTTTCCACGTCGATTTCTTAAGACCATTGGAATTACATTTAATTGAATTTAAGATTTTCCTGTCGATTGATTGAACCGAAGTGATCGGTCTTAGGTTGACATGTCGGCTTCTTGTGCAAATGCTTCGACGATGTCTAGGCATTTAATTAGAATTCAATTTGTGGATAGTGACTAGCAATGGAATCCAGGATGCGCATTTCGTGCTTTTTGGGACTCGTCATCCGGATATAGCTGCATTTTCCAGCGACTGATGATGTTGTCAACCTGAGACCAAGCACTTCGGTCCAATCAATCGCTGAATCAGAAAGTTACACTTATATGGTTTTTACTCAGTGAGTTCAGGTTTAAACAAAAAATCAGTGTTTGCATACAATGGTAACTTAATAAAGGCAAGAAGTAAGTAAGATAGTGAGCAACTAGTGAATCGGGTAACAATGTACTGAGTTCAACTCAAATCGCTATAAACAAGAGACAAGCAAGATTACATCACATCAAAGCAGTGTAAGGTTAAAGTCGAATTGTACACTATCGTATGAAGTGGAGAGAGAGAGGGATTAAAGACATCCAATTACCAGGGCAGGAAAACACTGACTGGTAACTGCTTCTTTCTGATTCAAGAAACCTGAGGAGAATTGAGCTATCTTGTCTATTGATTATATGAAAGGATTTCGCAGTGTCGACTTCATGACCCCTATCAATGAGATGTCTGACAGTGGCACTATTGTAAGCATTTGTTCCCCTTGAAACGTGGAGTTGTGACCTTTCTGCTCTCCCTAAGTTACTGTCTGTCTGGATTCAACATAGAACTTGGCACCGAGGTGAAGCAATTCAAGTTGTCACGTTCCAAATAGCACACAAAGGTGGTAGACAAGAAAATGAGTGAAGAGAATCAATAGAGTTTTGACAAGTATATAAGAGTGAAACAGAATGCGTAAGCCATTGACAACGATTTTCAGCCATGTCACCTATTGTCTGTCTCCAGCCATTGATTCTTAGAGTCCCGAGGGCGGACCCCAACCCGGAAGTCTGCATCTCCCTACCTAACTCAGTTTAACTGTCATGGATTTCATGGATTGATGAGGCCATGTTTTTGTTTGGCCACCACTTACTCTTTTCCAACCTGCACCTATATCAGCTAGTAATGCCCGTCCGTCGGGGAAGACGATGGTTAGGCATGCGCAGCACGTCACCTAGCCATCTCAATCTATGTAACTTTATAGCCTCGTCGATTGATTTTCCCTCTTTGCCCAACACTCTACGCCTAACGTCAACATTACTTACCTTATTATACCACCTAACGTGAGAAAGAGATCGTAGACATCTATGATCAAAAACTGTAAACCTTTTTATGTCTTCAACTGGTATTGGCCATGTTTCAGAGCCTTAGAGAAGGACGGAGCGAAGTGCTGAGCAGCACACACGTCCCTTGGTTGATAGTCGGATGTCACGCCTACGTCAGAGATGGTGTAAGTTAGCGAAAGCAGCCCTAGCTTTTTGGATCCGTGCTGAGATTTCATCACCAATCAATCCTTTGGTACTGATACAAGTTCCCAAATAGGTGAAGTGGTCAACATTTTCCATCACTTCACTCCCTATCACTAGGCTAGGAGTTGACGTAGTCCAGTCCTGTAGCAGCATCTTACATTTTACAGGGGCGAATCTCATGCCAAACATACGAAGATTGCTGCTCAAGGTGTTCAGAAGACTCTGCTCTATTTTGTCAGCATCCTCCCCTAACAGGACAATGTCATCTGCATATTCTAAGTGCATAAGACTATTCCCTGGTAACAAGTCGATTCCTAAGTCGTTAAGTTCAGTTAAGATCAAGTGACTGATCCCACAGATAATAAATGTAATTTTGTATACACAGAGTGAACCTGAAAAAGGGTATCTATCTATCTGTCGACTTTGGATTTCAATGTTTTTATTTGGAGAATTTTCATTTTTCCCTAGTGCATTCTAAAGCACCCAGTATCATTCAGCTGTCATTCAAACTATCCAAATATTTCATCATCTCTAGACATCTGTATCTTCTTATCTATTTATCTAGCTACCCTAGATATCTATCTATCTATCTGTCCATCTGTCCGTCTGATTTATGGCCTATATGACATATATTCACATGCCCTAGTATTATTCACCTTTTTAAAAAAATGCTGTATACAATTTCATTTCTTTTCTCTCAGATTTTCTTATCAATTCAAGTTATCTTGTTTAAGTATAAGTTTACAGTGTACCGTCTACTGCTGGTGTTGTTATAGGAAGTTTTTGATGATATTGATGATATCAGTTATAGAACCATTTAAAACCAGCTACAGGGAGTACTGGACAGCTGTTTCATCAGCCTATGCTGGGAATCATCGGCAGTAAGCATCCACCGCTACGCCAGGGTTCGAACCCAGGACCTTCCGGTTACAAGGCAAGCTAGCTCGTAGAGCATTCAGCTACTGGGACTGGATTTAGTGGCTCATGAATTCTAACCTCTACCAATTCGTGATGCATTTAGCGCGACTGGCACCAACCAATGTCATCGATGGCAACTCCATTCTCACTCCCGACTGGATGGACCCTATTAGGAAGGAACAGTTGTCCAGTACTTCAGTGCTGGTTTTCAATGGTTCTCTAACTGATATCAATCCGTGACCAACTCGTAAAAAGACAAGTCTAATCCTTACAAACCAACTGTTGAAGATATTGGTGATGCTTTTGTTGTGCTAAAATGAGATCTTCGCAGTTCATTGTTGGAGAAACTGAATAGTCTATCTCTCAGCGTATCCAGTTACTTTGGAAACAGAATTAGATCTTGGTGAGCTACCTTTCCAAGACTGCCTAGTTAAGAGGAAAGAAAACAGATGTTTTGATATTATCTATATTCAGGAGGAAAACATACTCCAAACAGATATTCAGACTTCGGATCATCGCACCCCATCAACACTAAGGTATCAGTTATCTGAAGTCTTCTTAGACAGGCATATCTTTTGATGATAACAAAAAACTTCTTTACTGAAATCAGCACCAACGTTAAACGTGGTCAAAAACTTATTCTGAAGATATGAGCCTCAACGGTTGTCATTCCATATATATCAGAAACGTCAGATCATATCAGAAAAGTACTCAATAAACACAACTTCAGACACAAACTAAAAAGCAACTTTATCCATGTAAAAGACAAAATCCCTAAAGATTCTCTATCTAATTGTGTCTATAAAATAAAATGATTGGAATGTGACGCGATATACATCCGACAAACATCGCCATAGAGAAATCAAAATCGGAAGAAATGAACACCGTAGAGCAGAGCATCTGTTTGACCACCGAGAAATCCAGTTAGTGAACTAGAAATGCTTGAAAAATCATCAGCCATGGGTCGTCTACATGCCATAGAATAAGGCCACAAAATTGACAATATTAAAATCGTCAGCCAGAAAAAGCATTTCAGAAATCACAAAGAATGTCTAATATCATCAGAATCACTTTATATCAAGTGGAATCCAAATTGTCCCAATATGAATGATGAACTAAAACAGAATTTGACCTGGTTACAACACCCCGTCTCGCTTCGTGAACTCACAGAATCAACACGAATGTGATAATCAACCTGATTATGTAAACACACACTGTTTTTATAGTTTTACACACTTATCAAATCCAACAATCTACACCTGGTTTTGTTATCTTTACTGATTGGCCAATTCGACAACGAAAAATGACCTCATACTGAGGGACGATGATTGAGTTGTTAAATATAAGCTGAGTGGATTTTGT